ATATGTGACAAGTCTCCTTGTTTGACTCAGCAAAGAGAGGAGGTTGTCTGGAGTAGATAAGGATGAATTAGTTGTCATTTGCTAATCATGTTAGCGCTGGTTTTATGAGGCTTTGAATGGCTTGGCAGTGGAACATGATTTAATTGTTGCCAATTAAAAAACAAGAAGGTTCTTCTATATTTTTGGATTTAGTATTGTAACAGACCCATGAGGCTTGTAGTCAGACTATAGTCTTGTCTTTTAAAGAACAGGGAAATAAGAGGATGGGGGGGGGGGGCAGGTACTGTGTTTCTTTCTGGCTTTTCTGCTAGTTTTAATTCACATAGACATGTGTGCACTTTCACTGCATTCAGTACTTCCCATTCTTCCTCATGACTTCACTACTGAATCAGTTGGGCTGAGGTAGGCTGGTGAAGAGGATAACGCTTTGCAAATAGCTGACAACGTACCAGGTAAATGGGAAATCTTAAAGAGAAAATGGCTATCTAACAGTTAGCACCAACAAACTTAAAATAAACACTGGATATGCACAAAATGCTTTTCCATATCCATAACATTTGAACAGTCAAAACAGGAGCATTGCAATCTGCACAACATCGTGAAGGAGCCTTAAAATTGTACATAGCAACAACAAAATTATTTTATTGACACTGAAGGAGGTAAACATGCTGCCTTAGTGTTCTAGTTAATTTATACACATTCAGAATAAATAAACCACACAGGACAGCATTTACAACATACCCAAGTGAGTTTGCCCACCTACACAGCTGTGATTTTAACAGCTACTAACCTGTAAACAATAGGAAAATAATGAGACGACAACAGATCTTAATTCACAAAAACATTTTAATGGTATTCTGTACTCCTCCTCATAAACCCAAGTACAGGTCAAATAATCTCAAAAGACACAACAAATTAATATATTCATTTCCATACTCCATGTGTGTTTTTTACAGTACAGAAAAAATAAGATGCAATCAAATTACAGGTACATTTTGTAAAAATGGCGATTACATGTAGGGATTACTTTAACCCCTTGACGCCGATTGTCGCAAATTCGCATCATACCTCTTCCTTGCAGACTGCAAGCCAAGATAGCACATGGATTCCCCCAATGCCTGTTGGTGCATATTTGATACGAACCTAGGAACCTTTTGGAAGCCCTGGTTTCTCATTTATGCCTGATGTCGCTAATTTGCATCATTCCTACACATACCTGAATTTATATATTTTCTACATTCTATAGACATTAACAATCTTCACTTAATTTAACATCAGCTTGAAAGTAAATGAAAACACAAATATTTTATCTTTTTTTTTATTGTAAAAAGATTCAGGCTTCAAGGGGTTAACAAAAAACAATATCGACAGATTGAGACAATAGTGCAAAGGATTCAGGAGTATTATTATTATATATTATTATTGTACATGTTGGAGGTGGATGAGATATACAGGTGCACATACACTTTCATGCATACTTGTACACAGTAGGTGGAGCCTAGTGCAAAGGATGCTGGAAGTATTATGTGCAGGTATTATGTACTTCAGGTAGGTGGATTTGGTATACAGTATACAATATATTATAGGACAAACTGAAATAGAGAGTGAGAGAATAAATAATAAGTGGTAGACGGTAAACAGGTGGCTGATTAGAGTTACTGGGTTATTGCACAGGAATTGTTCCTGACACTGTGAGTTAGAAGTCAGCTATTCATCAGAGTGATGGCTTGTGAGAAGAAACTGTTCCTGAGTCTGTTGGTTTTAGCAGCAAAGAGGTTGGTGGTTGGAGAAGCTGGAACAGATTGTGTCCGGGGTGAGATGGATCTGCAGTGATGTTTCCTGACTCTGGAAATGTAAAGTCCTGAATGGAGGGCAGGTTGGCAACGATGATCTTTTCTGCAGTCCTGACTGTCCGTTGTAGTCTGCTCCTGTCCTTTTTGGTGGCAGATTCAAACCCGACAGTGATGGACGTGCAGAGGACAGACTGGATGATGGCTGTGTAGAAGTGGATCAGTTCCTTAGGCAGGTTGAGCTTCTATAGTGGATCCCAGAACACAAGGTCTATTCTGACAAATGGGAACAATGACCTCCCCATTGTAAGTGATGCCATTTGTCAGAAAATGCTCACATTCCTTATTTTGTGACATTTGGCATCACTTACAATGGAGAGGTCATTGATTCCATTTGTCAACTCAATTGTCAGAAAGTTTCCCAATTGGACCCTCACGGTTCAGAAGGCCTCATTGAGGTCATTTGGCCAGATTGCGACACCTTAAACAGCAGTTCGACGGCTGCAGCTTTCAGTGCCTGAAATTAGGTGTAACAGTGAACACCTGACATCAATTTGGTGTCCCTGGGTGCATTCCAAGGTGCCCAAATACCTGCCCAAAGTTCAAAAGGTCGCCAGGTGTCCCTTTATGTCAAAATTGACAATTGGGACACATATTTTTCCAACATTCAAAATTCAATTCAATTTTTTCAATTCAGTTTTATTTATATAGCGCCAAATCACAACAACAGTTATCTCACAGCGCTTTTCATAAAAGAGCAGGTCTAGACCATACTCTATGATGCTATTTACAGAAGCCCAACAGTTCCCACCAAGAGCAGCACTAGGCGACAGAGGCAAGGAAAAACTTCCTTTTAAGAGGCAGAAACCTCGAGCAGAACCATGGCTCAGGGTGGGCAGCCATCTGCCTCGACCGGTTGGGGTGAAGGGGGGAGAGAGAGAGAGAGAGAGAGAGAGAGAGAGAGAGAGAGAGAGAGAGGGCAGGAGAGGAACAGAGAAAAAAAGAGAGGGATGGAAGGAGAGAGAGAGGGGAGGGAGGCAGCCTACATAATATACACACACAGAGGTACAGACAGTAAAGTTGATGTTGCTATAGACTAAATGAAAAATGGTACAGATATTTATAGTAGTGTTAATGATAACAGTCGTAATGTTAATGATTATAATAACAATAATTACAATAGGTCTAGTAACAATAGTCGTTGCAGCAGAGGGTGTCGAGCAGGAACACGGGGGCAGCAGGTGACTCGCAACCACAGATCCAGACTCCACAGATCCAGAGCCAGAAACACCTGCAGGAAGTGACAGGAGGAGAGAGGAGAGGGACAAGAAAGCACAAGACTACCAGAAAGGGGAGAAGTTGTGTTAGTAACATGCAATAATGGGATGAGGTTGCATACAGAGGGAGAGAAAGTAGAGGAGAGAGGAGCTCAGTGCATCATAGGAAATCCCCCGTCAGTCTAGGCCTATAGCAGCATAACTAAGGGATGGTTCAGGACTCACCTGAGCCAGCCCTAACTATAAGCTTTATCAAAGAGGAAAGTCTTAAGCCTACTCTTAAATGTGGAGATGGTGTCTGCCTCCTGAACCCAAACTGGAACCTGGTTCCACAGGAGAGGAGCTTGATAGCTGAACGCTCTGGCTCCTAGTCTACTTTTGGAGACTCTAGGAACCACAAATAACCCTGCATTCTGGGAGCGCAGTGCTCTGGTGGGGTAGTAAGGTACTATGAGCTCTTTAAGATAAGATGGTGCCTGACCATTTAGAGCTTTGTAGGTAAGAAGAATGATTTTAAATTCTATTCTGGATTATACTGGAAGCCAATGCAGAGAAGCTAAGACAGGAGAAATATGATCTCTATTCCTGGATCCTGTCAGAACACGTGCTGCAGCATTCTGGATCAGCTGAAGAGTCTTAATGGACTTTTTCGAGCAGCCTGATAATAAGGAATTGCAGTAATCCAGCCTAGAAGTAACAAATGCATGGACTAGTTTTTCTGCATCATTTTTAGACAGGATGTTCCTGATTTTCGCAATATTACGTAGGTGAAAAAAGGCGGTCCTTGAAATTTGCTTAATGTGAGACTTAAACGACATGTCCTGATCAAAGATAACTCCAAGATTCCTCACAGTGTTGCTGGAGGCCAGGGCGATGCCATCAAGGGAAACTATTTCTTTAGATAATGCATCACGGAGGTGCTTAGGCCCCAGAACAATAACTTCAGTTTTATCTGAGTTTAACATTAGAAAATTACAGGTCATCCAGGTTTTCACATCCTGAAGGCACATTTGAAGTTTAGCTAACTGATGACTTTCATCTGGTTTGATCGATAGATATAACTGAGTATCATCTGCATAACAATGAAAGCTTATGGAATATTTCCTGATAATATTGCCTAAAGGAAGCATATATAAAGTGAAGAGGATTGGTCCGAGGACAGATCCTTGAGGAACTCCATGACTAACTTTGGCATGCATGGAGGATTCATCGTTAACATGTACAAACTGAAATCGATCTGATAAATAGGACTTAAACCAGCTTAGAGCGGTTCCTTTAATGCCAATGAAATGTTCCAGTCTCTCCAATAGGATCTGATGGTCAATGGTATCAAATGCAGCACTAAGATCTAATAAAACCAGTACAGAGACAAGTCCTTTGTCTGATGCAATAAGGTGGTGTGCTTTGATGAGCTCTAAATCCTGACTGGTAAATCCTCAAATAAACTATTGCTCTGTAGAAAGTCACACAGCTGTTTAGCAACTGCTTTCTCCAGAACCTTAGAGAGATATGGAAGGTTAGATATAGGTCTATAGTCCATAGACATCCGGATCAAGTTTGGGCTTTTTCAGAAGAGGTTTAATTACAGCTACTTTAAAGTACTGTGGTACATACCCAGATAGCAGCTGACTCTGGGCCGGATCCGCCTCCAAACCGGCAGATCCGTGTAACACGCCCGTTTTACTGCCCCGTTCCAGATACAGCCCGCATGTAGTCTGTGTACACTCAGGAGTGGGCGTGAGCATCCATCAGTCGGCGGAATCATAATAGTTCTGGCCCGGACTCGTCGGAACGAGCGCGCAAATTGTTTCTTTTTTTTTGCTTTCGAACCGGTTCATACCAGACCAGAAGTCAGTCGGCGGAATCGTAGTTGTTCTGGCCCGGGGCCGTCGGAACGAGCGCGCAAACTGTTTGCCTTTCTTTGGATCAGTTCGGACTGGAAGCTTTGTGGAAAGAGTTTATAACGGTAAGTTGAACGATGTTACAGTCAAACAGTTCAGTGAGATTGTTTTTAATAGTGGTGTAATGCTTGTTAACATCATTAACATCATCACATCGGAATGTTTTGACCGGGTTTTAACTTCTTAAAATGGCTAAAACTGTTGAAGAGGCATTGGCTAATGTTAGCTTTTTAGCTGGGCTAGCTAAATTAACTGAATGAATGGATAGCTAAGCTAGCTAGCATTAATAAACAACTTTGTGTGCAGCTAGCATAAAACATTAATGCTGTTTAACGTTAACGTTAGTTAACTTACAACGATGTTGTAACGTTAGTTTCCAACAGCACCAACTGACAGCACCTGTCTCCTTTTTAGGTTCAATCTTTTCTCCACCCCTGGCTGAGAGCCCGGGATTATAGGGTAAGTTAAGTTAATTTAAGTATTTTTGGCTTTGATTTGATTTTCAAATCTTGGCTATATTTAAGCATAACGTTATAAAGTTATGATAGGTAAGTTAAGTGTTTAAAAAATCAAAGCCATCTAAAGAAGTTGGAATTTTCATCTGAAATTAATCAAAACGTAAATTCATTATGACAAATAAGGTCTATGGGCGGGAAATCGCATCTCTCCGTGTCTTTTCATTGACTTTGTATGAAATCACACTGCGGTATTATGGTTGAGGAGCAGTTCCTGATTCATTCTGGATATTTATTTGGGGCGTTTTCTGAGGGATATAGTGTGCTATGTTAAGCTTACCAAGTGTTTACCCTCAGATTTCTGTCAGGAGCTGTAAGAAATGTTATTTTGTCTAGAGGCTGATGGTTCTCAGTAATTAATCAAATTGTACAGTTAAAAATTACAATGAGGTTCATGATATCAGTACACTGAGATGGCTGGCAGTGGTACAATCAGCATTACTCATTCTTTTTAATTTGCCTCACATTTTTTTGTTGCAGGCTTTGTACATAACGTTACTACCACTGGGGTTTGTTCCAAAATCACAATGCAGTGCAAACCTGTAACATTAGCAGAGCTGAGCTCCTGGGGTCATTTGTCATGCAGGGTAACGTTACCCACTGGGTCTTAAAATAATTAAAAAACTCATTGAATTTAATATTCTCAAAATAAGGCTCTTACATTTATTTACAGAGGTCTTAATTTTTTTATTGTCCTTTTCATATGATTATATAGATACAGGTAACGTTATACATAACTGTCAAATGTAAAAAATGTTTTGTGTGTTTTGACTACTTTTTACATTTTGTCTGACTTCCGGTCAGCTCTGCTGTACTAGTAACTTCACCACCGATCTGCATACAGTGCTCTTTCATGCTTATTTTAGCAACTTTCACAGATAACATTCTGTTAATAGTATTTACTGTTCAATCTTGGAATATACTTTCAATGGTTTTCTCAAACACAGTGGCCAAAAGATTAATTGGAAAGGAGTAAAGGGAAAAGAAATATTTTAAAGAAATGCTAACAAGAACTCTGTTGATCAGTAAGTATTTTAGTATACGTATTATATGTGGAGGTGACTAGTAGATGAGAACGAATTTTTATGTAAAATAAAATATTTAAATAGTATATTTAATATATCAGGGATGTAACTTTAAAGCCAAAAAATAAAAAAATAAAAAATACTTTGATAGCGGTGGTGAAATAGATCTCAGTCATGACAGCACCGATTACTCACATAATCACTTCCTCTTTGTAGATTTGCCAGCAAAATAAAAGCACGAGAAGCTTGTTTGCTGTAATGTTTTACATGGAGTTGAATTGAGAGCTTTTACTTATTTACTTTTTTACTAAACGTGATTCCCCTAAATGTCCTCTGCCTGGAGATACTGGGGAAATGTTGGTACCCGCCAATGCCTTTCCATGACCTGATACAGAATCCACACAGATAAATTTGTAATGATAAGATGCACTGAGATTTAAGGCTGATCCAATATAATCCAGATGTGATTTGATAATTGTTCAGTTCATAATCAGTATGATTTTTTAATAATTAGTTATTCATGAGTGAAATTCTATTTGTTTTGAGTTACTAAATGAAATGCTATAGAAAATTAGGTCTACTGCCACACCAACAATAGTAAACATGGGCATTGAGTACTTTTTTCAACCCTCTAAAGCATTTCTCAAAAAAGTTGGTTATTAGCTTGGCTTACAGGTAATTTTCAAAATGTCTGTTAATGACAGCTCATCAACCAATTGACTTTCTCTCTTAACAGAGGCTGTACGGAAGAACCAAGCTGCTAGCAGCGCATCGGACAACGAAATTAGCCAGTACGCCATCCGCTGGTTCAACCTGGCCTCTGACCGTGGAGGTGGCTGCAAAGAACGTGCCATGGCCAGAGAGGCATTAACCGTGGTAAATCTGTATTTACCCTCTTTTTGAAACGCTCCATTTTAGCACCTGTCTCGTTAAAGCCCCCATCCTGAAAAAGCCCAGTCTGCTCTGATTGGCTTGCGAGAAAAATATGTCACTGCTTTGCAAAGATGGTACTTAACCTTAAGCCACACTGTTGCTATTATTAGAGTTTAATACTTCTGCATTCATTTAAAAATAACACCTGTGTCATAGGTGTGTGGTTACTGTACAGTTACTAGAAATTAATTGTCACCTGCAAGTCAACTGGAGTGAAGTTTCTTGTTCCTACAGTTGTTAAAGACAGAAATGAGCTGTAAAATGTGTTTATTAGATTGATTGTTAGTTTGGCAATTATCTACTTTGTTTTAAGTTTCTGTCCTCTCTTTTTATCTCAAACATTTCAAATAAAATTTAAAATGTGTATTTTAAATAAAATTTAAAATGTGTCACTCATCCGTTCTATCACTTTCTTTGTATTTTCTGTGTAGGACAAATAGAAACAGTCTTTGTAACAGAGTGTAGTTTTGACTGTCCATGCTTTTTAAATTCAAAAGAAAAAAGTAATCGAGTTTAAAATGCAAGGAAAAAGAAAACGAAAGTAAAACAAGAAATCTTAGTGTACCTTAGTGATATACAAGTCACTATTTGTTATACATTATATAGACCAGCTCCTGCCATAACAAAAAAATCCACATTTTTGTATATGTTTTGTGGGTATATAGATCAAGGTTATGAAAGAGGCCAGAACTAATAAATGGAGCTGGCCCAGTGCCGGCCCAGTGCCAGTCCAGATGTGAAAACCGGGTCCTCAACAGTATCTTAGAGACTCTGGGCCAGATCCAGTATGGAACTGGTCCAGATCTGGCCCACATTTGGGCCAAATGACTACATAATAATTGTCATCCGTTCTGGAGCTGGACCAGTGCCGGCCCAGATGTGAAAACCGGATCCGCACCAGCATTGGCCCGTTGTGCTAAAGGACACCGGGTCCGTTTTACAGATCTGGCCCAGAACTTATGAAGGATCTGGGCCAGATCTGGGCCGCATGATTTTTGCTATCTGGGTAGCCTGTTGATAAAGATAGATTGATCATATCTAGTATAGAAGTGCTGACTAAGGGTAAAACATCTTTAAGCAACCTAGTTGGGATGGGGTCTAAGAGGCAGGTTGATGGTTTAGATGAAGAAATTATTGAAGTTAGTTGGTAAAGATTGAGGGAAGCAGTCTAAACATATATCTGGTTCTACAGCTGTTTCTAAGGTTCCTGAGTTAAGAGATAAGTTTGTGCCAGTTGAGGGCAGGTCTTGGTGAATTTTGTCTCTAATAGCTAGAATTTTATCATTAAAGTAGCTCATGAAGTCGTAACTACTGAGAGCTATGGGAATACTTGACTCAATAGAGCTGTGAATCTCTGTCAGCCTGGCTACAGTGCTGAAAAGAAACCTGGGGTTGTTCCTATTTTCCTCTACTAATGACGAGTAGTACGCTGCTCTAGCATTACGGAGGGCCTTCCTATAAGTTTTAAGACTATCTTGCCAAATTAAACGAGAATTTTCCAGTTTGGTGGAACACCAATTCCTCTCAAGTTTCCGCAATATTTGCTTTAATTTGCGAGTTTCAGTATTATACCATGGAGCTAACCATCTTTGTTTTAGTATTTTCTTTTTTAGAGGGGCTACAGAGTCGAGTGTCATTCGCAGCGAGCCTGCAGCACTATTAACAAGATGATCGATTTGGGAGGGACTGAAATTAGCATAGGAGTCCTCCGTTACTTTGTGACTTGATAATGAATTTAGAGCTGATGGAATCGCATCCTTAAATTTAGCTACAGTACTATCAGACAGACATCTTGTATAGAAATTTTTGCCCAATGGCATGTAGTTCAGCAATACAAACTCAAAAGTTATCAAACAGTGGTTGGATAAAGAGGGATTCTGTGGGAACACCACTAAATGTTCAATTTCAATACCATACACCAAAACAAGGTCGAGGGTGTGGTTAAAACAGTGAGTCGGTTCATGAACACTCTGAGAGAAGCCAATGGAATCTAACAGAGAGATAAACGCAGTACTAAAGCTGTCATTCTCAACGTCCACATGAATATTAAAATCCCCTACAATAATAACTTTGTCCGTTTTAAGGACAAAAGTAGAAAAGTCCATAACTTCACACAGAAACGTCCCAGAGACCCCAAATTTGGAACACAGGTAGTTAGCCTAGAATAAGGTCACGTGGTCAAATTTTATCCAAGATGTCTAGAATTTTTTTGGGCCGGCATGGATGTCCCAGCTCAGGATGGTTTTAGACTCGACACGTCAGACAGCCTGTGCAAAATTTGGTCAGATTGAAGCCACTTTTTTTCTAAAAGTGCCAGGGCTGCAGATTTTTCATTTTCATTTTCGCCACTCCCAAATGTGGCGTGGCAGCCCCATTTCGGGCCCCCTAGCCCCTTGGGTTGCTGCGTAAGGGGCGCTTGAATTGTTGACCCAAGTGTCAAAAAGTTTCCCAACTGGACGCTCTCGCTGCAAAAGGCCTCGTTAAGGCCATTTGGCCAGATCAAAGCACTAAAAACTGCAGAAGGAGGTCTGCGACCTTCAGCTCCTGAAACGCGGCATCGCGGTGAAGGCCTGACATCGAGCCGCTGTTCCTGCGGGTTTAACGCGTCCCACCTGCCACATATTCGGAGCGCGCACGTGGCCTAGGGCAAGATGACGCATTCATTTCGGTCAGTTTCCATGGTTTGAAACCTCTCCCGGGTCCCAGGGGCGACAAAACCCCGACTCTGACAGATGCGAACATTTTTGACGTTTGGGACCCCTGCCGGAACCACCCACCCACCCATTGCTCGCATTGACTTCCATTCGTCTTCCTGAACGTCAATTATGTTCCCAAAAAGAACGAGCCCAGTAGCCCAAACAGAGAAGCCGAGCGGCCGCCAGGGCGCTGGGCAGCGCTGCCCATCCCCCAACGCAATGAGGAGAGGTGCGAAGTGTCAGAAAACCCCTCCCTCGTGTCAAACTGCATTCGGGGGTAAGGCGCGCATGTGTTGAAGTTGCACTTGAATGTAATAAATAAGTTAAATTTTTTTTTTAAAAAGAAAGAGGATGCACTTTGCTGAGTACCAAAGCAAGATAAATTTCCCCTCTGTGACAATAAAGTGTCTATTCTATTCTCTATTCTATTATTTTTACCAGGGAGGCCAGAGGTCAACCGATGATTGTTTTAGCCACAAGCTTATTTTCTTACCTTTGCTGATCTTCTGAGAAAAACTGCAACTAAACCAACACTTGGGTCTTATATACACAAGCCTGCAGACCAGATTTCATCATCAAAGGCATTCGACCATTGATGATGTCATGACATTCAAAATTCAAAGTAAAAAAAAGAATTTAAAAGAAAACATTCTAACCTTTGGGACTTCTTTTAGGCCCTTATCAGAAACTTGTTGACATTCAAAATTCAAAGTAAAAAAAATAATTTAAAAGAAAACATTCTAACCTTTGGGACTTCTTTTAGGCCCTTATTAGAAATTTCTTAATATTCAAAGTAAAAAAAAGAATTTAAAAGAAAACATTAACTGCCGTTTTTGGTTAACATTCTCTCTCAAACAAAGAATGGGGGTGTGGTTAATAGTCATACTTAGTAAATTACCATGACAACCAAAAACCGATGGGCGGAGTGTTCACTAACGATATGCTGTGCTAACATCACGACACTGTGAGGTTTAGTAGACTTTACTGTCTGGCAGGAGTAGCTATTACTTAGAAGAAGGAAATGCCATTCCAAGAAGCCAGGAAATGTTGCCAAAGGCGCATTTCCATTTTGCATGCCTCATGCAGAACAACTCTATCATGGATAATTTTTCGTTTCCAAATGGGAACATTTTTGACATTTGGGATGACACGAGTGAACATTCTCGACAAACGGGAGGCGCACCGAGAGGCTCATCCGATACGTCAAAAATGGTCCCCCGTGTCAGGATTTTTCCCAAACGTCAACCGATGTGTCAGAATTGACTCCGCGGCCCCGCACGTGCCCACTTCTGGGGCATTGGCGGCCGCGATGGGGGAGGGGGGGTCGTTCAGCCTGGTCTCGACCTTAGATGGCTGCCGTAAGGGGGTCTTTCACCTGGAGGTCTCCACAGCCAGGAGAGCTTTTTCTCGGGCATGGACGGCCGATGTCATGGGGGTGGGGGGGTTTGTTTCCAAGGATGTGTCCCCAGCATGGACAGCGCGTCCTGGTATATGTGGAGACTTATGTTCCTGGAGCCCCCCTCATTAATGAGAGTCTGTCCTGGTGTATGTGGAGACTTATGTAAACCTGGTGATGGTTCCTGGGGGCCTCAGGACCACAAGGTCCAGTCTGACAAATGGGAACGTAGACCCCCCCCATTGTAAGTGATGCCATTTGTCAGAAAATATTCAGTTCCTTTTTTTGTTGACATTTAGCATCACTTACAATGGGGCGGTCTGTGTTCCCAATTGTCAGGACAAATGTCAGAATGCTTCCCAAATGTCAAATGTCAATTTGGATGGTACCTGAACAACAGCTGGGGGCCCGTGTATTGTTCCTGGAGGCCCCCCTCATTAATGAGAGTCTGTCCTGGTATATGTGGATGGTTCCTGGGGGCCTCAGGACCAAAAGGTCCAGTCTGACAAATGGGAAGGTATTCCTTATTTTGTGACATTTGGCATCACTTACAATGGAAGGGTCTATGTTCCCAATTGTCAATTCTCTCCCCGGCCATGAGAGCCTGTTGGAGGCATGGATGCCTGCTGGTGAGGGGTCATTTTTATGGAAGTCTTCCCATCCAGGAGAGCAATCACTCTTACTTGAAATTCAACCCCGAGTCCAACGGTGCAAACCCTTTGGCTCTAGCACCTTCCTATCAAAAGTTATTTCCAAAAAGCCACTCGACTTTTGTCACTTAGAATTTAGCTGTTATTTTCTGTCCGCAATGCTGCAGCCGGGACAGCCTCTGACAGCTACTCTCCAATTGTCTCCAAAACAAATCAGTCCTACTTGAAATTCAACCTCGAGTCCAACGGTACAAACCGTTTGGCCCTAGCACCTTCCTATCAAGAGTAATAACATTTTTTGACATTGTCCAAATGGGAACATAGACCAACCCATTGTAAGTGATGCCATTTGTCAAAAAATGCTCAATTCCTTATTTTCTGACATTTGGCATAATTTACAATGGAAGGGTCTATGTTCCCAATTTTCAGGACAAATGTCAAAAAGCTTCCCAACTGTCAAAACCCACCTTGTCGGTACCTGAACCACAGCTGGTGGCCCCTCTACTGTTCTGATGGTACCTGGGGGCCCCAGGACCACAAGGTCAAATTTGACAAATGGTAACAATGACCATCCCATTATAAGTGATGCCATTTGTCAGAAAATGCTCCATTCCTTATTTTGTGACATTTGGCATCACTTACAATGGAGAAGTCATTGATTCCATTTGTCAACTCAATTGTCAGTAAGTTTGCCAATTGGACCCTCACGGTTCAGAAGAGAGAGAGAGAGAATAACTCTATCCCGTCTAAAAGCCCGCTCATTGTAAAGTCTGTGTATAAGGCGTGCCATGTCTTTACTGCTGAGTTATCAAGTGGTTACTATAGGAACTTGCCTAGATTTTGACTTTACGCCTGCTACTGACTAGGCGTAAGATTTACGCCCGGTCTTAGCGAGAAGAGGACTTAAGCCTGGATGGTGCAACTGCCATAACTATGAGGTCGGACTTAGAATGCTGAGTTAAGACCTACT